AGGCGTTCAAAAATTGCGTATATCACCCATGTTTCAGGGGATATCGCGGGTAATTGGTAGAAGTTTTCAACCAGCAATAAACGCATCTCGGCAAAGCCTCATTGATCACGTTATCGCCACTGCGCAAAGCTAAGGAACAGTAGGTCGAGTTGACCATACCTAACCCCTCCCCGTATCTCTTATGGGTCGAGCATACAGCTCTTTCGCATGAACATCACTATGTGACATATTTTATTTTATATAGAAAATATTATTGAGTAGAATGAAGAAGATTCGCCTTCTCACAACACAGTGTTTACCCATAAGAGAATTTGCTCGAAAATTATACAAATAATATAAAAAGATCGCAGTGATATATCGCAGAATACATATTAGTTAAGGCCTATTAGGAAGCAGCTTTTCCAAAAGCATTAAAATCCATCGTTAATTTGATGCTAGGTTGATGTGTTGTATTCATCTGTTCATAATTCACATTAATTCCATTTGTTTTATCAAAAACATACCTTGGCTTCGTTTGCTTTCGCTTTGGATAATTGCTGGGAGAGGGACTGGCGACTAGCTTGCAACAGTAAAGCTGATTCAAGTTGATGTTTTACATTTGGATGGACGTTTAGTATCTAGAAGAGAAACATTTTTTCGTTTCTTTTGATCCTCACTAACATTTTTGAATTCTTTAGGCCAATTCGGTGCAATAGCGTTCAAACGAGTAATCGTGAACTCTTGTAACCTCCGAGCTGAAGCAGAAAGTTGTCTCCACTCATCCGCAGAAGTTGCACACAACATACGACATAAAGCTTGTACGAGCAGAGAAATCGTGCTCAACCCTGAATCCACAAATTAATCATGTAAAACTTGTAATCTTACGTTTTTCTTCTTTCGCAGCTGTAATCAAAACTTCCATTGTTTTCACAGCCTCTTGTACAACAGCCAACTGGTCATCTGTTATGTCCTAGAAAAGTAAGAGTAAGAGCATTGCACGCTTGAAAACTCCAAACCTTTACATTTCCGGCATGCTCACCAGTGACCATTGTTTTGATAGGCTCGAATGCGTATTTACCAAGTCTATGAATGAAAAGCGAACTGATATCACGCCGCGAAAACAGAGAGTTCAAAGATTGCAATGCTTTGCACACAACCTAAACTTGTTAATGAGACCAAAATTATTAACCAAGATACTTGATAATTGTCGCTTTGCAGTTGGTTCCGGAGAATCACCACTAGACGATTCAAGCTGTCCGAGTGTCCCATTATCACAGACTTAGGAGCTGAAGACACTAGTATGACACAAGATAACATGATCACACATTCGTCAACTCTGTGGGCACCTGAAGAGAATTTGGGTATATATTGTATGTGGTGTATACTGTATATTATGCAGAATTTGAGTATATATTCAAAACAGACTGTAAAAGTACCTGAACAGAGCAACAGCATGGAATACAAAGCACTTCTCATCAAAGAGGTCCACTGCTCGAGGGTTGCATCAGTAGGGGGGGAGCTAGCTATGGTACGAAGAGCCTAAACGAACAAAGTTTTGACAGAAAAGTATGATATCATTGATACCTGTAGTGCTGTCGTAGCTACAGTTGTGAGATGTCCAGGTGGTAAGTCAGGAACTACAGACCCTTCATCGATTCTAGCTGACTCACGAATAAATCCAATCAAAAGGTACAGAACTACGGGAAGTACCACACCTTTCCCTTTCGAACAACAAAGATTGGGGAGCTGAAAAAGGAAAAATAATCTTCATAGCATATAAGTAACAACCTGAACAAGCAGTTGAATGCCGCCTTTGATTAGTGTAGCACTCTCAGGTGGTAATCTACCAAATCTACGTAAATGAAGCGGTGCTACCGATCTGGACTTCATCTGCGCGGAATTGATCTGGGGCATCTGCCTTATGAACAGGCACAACACTAGTTCCAACAAGCCGAAGGTGAGTGTACCCGATTTAAGACCCTCAGATCCTTCTTCGCCTTTGAAACCGTCAAAATGATGACCTAATGGGGAAGTTATATTGCCATTTTCAATATCTTTAAAGAAATAAATTAATTGATAACATGATTCATTGAAACGTTTACCAGCAGAAGACGACAAACGGATTGAACAGAATGCAGCATCAAGGATAGTATTCGCACATTCCATGCACAACTGTTGCGTAGACAGGTTATCTCTCGTAAGGATAAGCCTGAAGGGTTGTCGGTAGGTAAGTCATAAAATAATTTTCTCAAACCTGTGAAGTACATTTGTCAACTCAATCGCAAGTTGGATGTCAGACATCAAGTGAAGTTGACACCATTCACATGATATGAGTGCTGTCAATGATTTCAAACACATCTGGAACTGGTAGTTAATTGCAGCTCAAAGAGAGCATGTATACCTGGATAGTAGCGTCATCGTTGAAGGCTGTTTTGCTGCAAAGAGCTTCTACTGCTAGCCCGAACATAACATGGAAGCGCGACTCAGCTTTATCATTGGACCATGTCTCAGGAGCCTTCAAAATACTGTTTACAACAAAAAAAAGACTTTCACACCTCAGTTTTAACGCATTTCTCGAAACTGTTTTGTTTGAACCACATCGTACTTGCAAGAAGGATGGGAGGCCAAGCAGCCCTGTAGTATTCCCGACAAACCTAATATTATCGGTTATGGTATCAAGCAACTTGAAATGAACTGACTTCAGAGCTTTCCATTTTGAAGAACGCTCCTCCATCACCAGGTAGTTGGTTGACAAACTTTGCTGGGAGAGAGAGAACGGCAGCGTCATGAAGGGCCGCCAGCCAATAGCCTATTAAGCAAGACAATTCAGGCTGCACAAGAGACAATAGACTCTCGTTGGGGGAAGGGCTATCGTCGTCTTAAACAAAAGATTAAACAGATCCTTACAAATTTAATCACCTGTTCTATTACTTTCACTTTTACTTTCTTGCTCAATAGCGGTCACGTAAACCTCAGCCCAAGCTTTTAGAATCGAAACCTTTTCCAAAGTGGCTGCTGCTTCACTGTACAACTGGGTGTTGATTGATCCATGCTTTAGCTTTCCCAGAGACGAGACAAGAAGCTTGATCAATTTTTTGAGTAAATGTTATTGCTAGTCTGAGTACCTGGTGAACACGGCGAAGATCGTTCAAATCTCTAGCAACACCACTTCCTATCCAAGTACTACATACTTGACAAGCAGCAGCAGTGACATGACTCGGTGTGTCTTCAGTGAAAGCCGGACGAAGGGCAGCACCAACTTGAGCTTGAAACTGTTCTAGGATGACATGACCTGGGAACTCAGGCTCAGGAACAGTAGAAAACCTATTTATGACTTCCTGAGAAAATAATTTTTCAAACAAATGTGTGAAAATTAAGAGCACCTGTAAAGAAAGTAGGCCTGCTAGTCTCAACTCGGTGTTGCTACTGGTGGCACCCATGAAAGACATTCGCACCAAATCGGAGAGATGGAGAACTAGATAATCACAGCGTCCGTCTGAAAGAAAAACAGTTCGAGAAACTTAGAACAAAAACTGAATACTTGAAGACATCTGTAACTCTTTAGCTAGAGCAAGATCTAAGTGAGCACGTTCAGTATCACAAACAGACATCAGCTTTTGAACAACTTGAGTAGCAAAAACTCTAGTAGGCCATCTAGGCTGAACTTTGCCCTTATCAATAATGTTAGATTTTACAGCCAATGTGACATCGTCATCCCCTCCCTGAACAGTAGAGTTTAAATGGCAATAAAAACAAAAATTACATCTTCTTTCTCGTCATCCTCTTTTTCCGTTGCATCGTCTGTACCGAGCGCAACTTTAGTAGATTCAGTGGAAGAAGCGAGGATATCTTTACACAAAGATAGCCATTGACTCAAGAGTTCTCCATTAGTCGCTTGAACTAGCGATACCACCGTTTCCTGGACATAAATGTGATAAACATTACTTTAAAGAAAAAACCTCCAAGTGAAGACGTAATTGTGAATGTGTCTCAGTGTCCAACATACTTATGAGGGCACCTTCCAAACCCGTGTCAGGTAAAGGAAGTTTTTTGCCTTCATCAACCATACCTTGAGGAACAAGAACTTGAGCATGCTCATGTACCTATAAGAATTATTAGAGTAATTTCAACATGAGATAGATTGTTTTACTTCTTTTGCTTCACGTTGAACAAGTTGTCTCAAACAACACACCGCAGCTTTCCGAACACACAAATGTCTACTAGAAAGAGATCTAAAAAGAAAATGAGACATTTTCAAAACACGGAGCTCCACCTGCAGATATCATGAACAAGCCTATTCAAATGTACATATCTAGGAGCGTAGAGGTGCATTTGCTGCAATCCGGCCAACGCTTCGGAGCGTACCAACGGGTCAGGATGAGAAAACTAAAACTACTTGTGAAACCGAAGTGGAACGGGACACATACTTGAAGTGCACAAGCAACAAGCAAAGATCCTCTCACACCTTCTATGGCTCCAGTGCATCCCAACTCAGGACCAACACAGGTCATCAACGCAGACAACTACAGATTTGAAATGTAATGGTTATAAACTCTAATTTATACCAGTTTTCCGATTCCTTGAACAACATCAACATTACCAGCTTGTGTATTGAGCAGAAGTATCAGACAAACGCTGAGAACAGGCTCAACGTAGCCGCGGAACATTCCCCCACCCGTTTCGGCAATCAATGCTAGACTTACAAGGGACCAAGTCTGTAAAACAAAATTCGTAATTTTTCATCAAGCAGATCCTACTTGAACAAGTGGTTGTGAAAAATCTTGGGACAATGCAAGTACCACTGACACGCCAGTGTTCAAATGCTGACCGCTTCCTAAACTTCCAACATGTCTATGCAAACATCCTAGAGCCAGGGTAAACCCTGATCTGCTGATTGAATCCCGTAATGTTTTCAGACGATCAAAACAATATTGAGCAATAGATGCAACGTACTGAAACCGAGAATAATTTACTTATTGTGAACAAGCAAAACCTGGGGATCCCCAGCAGCTTGAGCAAGTCTTCCGAGAGCTTCTGCAGATACACATCTGGATATCGCTGAGGGGCTACTGAGACCATTTACAAGAATATTTAGTGAAGCCTTAACGTGAATAATTTCAAAAGATGATATGAGAGATTTCTCACCTTCTGCAATGATTCATTATCGAGTCGAGATCTAGATTCGCAAACAGTTTTGAATGCTCCGGCTAGAGCGCACACAACGTTCTGTTGGATCTACAACAGGCAACTCTAATCAAGTACGAGTGAAAACACGAACCGCTTGTTGTCTTGCAACTTGCTTACAGCCTTTGATGGTTTCCGAAAAATGTTCTGTTATTTGTAATTTATGCTTGGCTGGTGCCAAGTAGAACACTTTGGCGTAAGCCTGCACTGCTGTATCCAAACATGCAACATGAGGAGGATCAGGAGTAGGCCATAAGCTATGCAAATCTTTAGCATTACCACTTAAAGAAATAATGATGAGAAATGGAAGTTAATTGATGGAACCTTATTAGGCACATGACGTCATTTTCCATAGATCCGACGCAACTGTTCCCTGTTTGCAGCTGATTTTCAATCAAAGCTTGATCGTTTGCATTGAACCAAGGAGTTAATAGTACACTTTCTGGTCCTCCTGTCAACTGAGATGGTAAAGATGATGTCTGACTGGATTGAACGTTATCCGAAAGGGTGATATCGGCAACTAGCTCTCGCAACAGAGCGGCGTAAACATCTGAACAAAAAAAAAGTCTCACTGAATTGACTGAAACAACCGACTCTCATATGTTTTTGTCGGCAAATGAATGACCAACTGATAAACTCTTATGCGCACATAGCTCAACAGCTGTCTTATTTTGTTGCCATAAGAACGAACCAAACTTCCAACTCTGAAAAAGATTAATCTAGATTACAGAGTCTATTTTCAAAAAACAGACTGTGACATCATGACTAAAGAGCATTCTACAGGCAACAAAACGGATTTTATAATTTCATCGTCTGCTAAGTCTTTTTGCGATACTGCGGCGCACATCACAGACAGAGCTCCAGCTCTAGACTCCAATGCGCACTGCCAAGAGAAAGCATCACCTAGATCATTCGAGTAAGCTACTGGAATTGAAAACGAACTCACCTCTGCCTTTCTCATTTTCAGCCTCTTTAGCGCTTCTAGGAAAAGCAGCTCTCCACATTTGACATATCTTCGGCATATAACTCTTAACGACACAGGGTCCTAAAGTGAACATGACCTATTTGATGCAAATACAAAAATACCTAGGGACACGAGAGAATGTAATAACATCCATCCAGCATTTATTTTAGCTATGGCTAAACGGCTCTGCTGAGTTGCCGTCTTGAGCATTTCCTCAGCACAATTGAAAACCTAAACCCCAAAATGTATCCCTAAATTTCTATTTCAATTCGAACCTGTTTGGGTTTGGCATGAGGAATGCCAAGTTTACAGTCTGCGGATGCAGCAATTAGAGCAGCCAGAGCCAAGGAGTAACCACTGATCGCATCAGTACTAGCTTTCATGTGTTCCAACCTTGAATAATTTCTCGTTTTGTGAAAAATTCTTTTAGCCTACCTGCTGAGACATCTATCGATCAGCGGAGTTAGTTGACTTGGTACAGCTAGAGTAACACAGCGAAGACACCACGCACTTGCTACTCTTACAGATTGAACTGGATGAAGCAATGAAGCGAAAACAGGTTCCATAATACCTGAATACAATTTTTAAATTAAAAAGTAATTAAAAGGTATTACCAGATGCTTCAACAAATAAAGGTGTCACTGCCGTTCCAATTTGTCGTACTAGAGCAGATATCTCTAACAATGCTACCATGCAGGCTTGAGCAGAGGAATATATTTCAGGACCGAAAACCGATTCGACTCCAGGCTCGACCGAGCAATCAAAGGAATTAATGTAATCGGAAAGGAGCGCTCCAAGATATTTGCAAGCAGTGATTTGAGCTTGTTCGCTAAGCATAGTTCCAATACTGGCTCGAAAAACATACGAGATACATCCTCGCATTGAGACAGCCTCATTGGCTTGAGAGTTACTACTAGAATTGAAGTGAATAAGCAAGGTGACATAAAGATGATTTTACTTAGTGAAAGCCAGGCCTCCAGTTTTGGCACATACATCCAAAAGATGCTTACAAATCATGCCAACATTTTTCTCTAGCCAATTGGTCCCCATTTCACGAAACAGTTCAACATAGCCCTAAGAGGGAAATGAGAAAAATTCAAAAAATTGAGACGAACCATAGCAATTCCCACTCTGACTTCTCTCAGACCACCTGAAGCAGCAGCCGAGCCACTGTTTCCTTTTAGGAATCCTCCTATTCCTCCTCTGAGAAAACCAGCTGAGAGTAGCTGAAGAGCATCTTCTAATGGCATCGGACGAATTGGGATGTTAGTATTTCCTTTGCCACCTTAAAGAGCACTAATTGAGGGAGAAGAGCATCTGAACGAACCCATCGTAGCTCCAGGAGGAGGTTGAAGGGAAGTTGACAATAGAATAGCGAATAAGTTTGCTACAGCAAGCCTTGTTTCATAAGTTGAGCCATCCAAGGCTTTAACACATAAAGTACATGTTCCTTCTAAGTCAGTAGTATATATTACAGGATATAATGGTACAAGCGAAGTGAGACACTGAAAATATCACAAAATTTCTGCTGTTATGTAACAAAGTTCATACCCGAATAGCGGCAACACGTACAGTAGGGGCTCGGTCAGTTAGGTAAGTTTTGGCGACTTTATAAAAATCTTTATGCACATTAGACGCTCCCGCTCCTAAACCCGTGATCATGGCGGACATGGTAGACAGAATCTCAGTGCGTATTTGGGACTGAAAAATATTCTCAGCACACGTAAAGTTATCTCCATTATGTATGTGGTCAGAAGACCGTCGTGTAGGTATCTTCATTGAAATTACAGCAGCCGGGATCGAACCCGTGGCCTTTTTGGTGACACGTATAACGCAGACCACTTTACTATCCGTCACTATGGACATTCGCTCACCTCAGCACTTTTCATCATCTTACACATGGCAGTGAAAGTCTCTTCATACGATCTTCCTACTAATCGACCGACATTTTCATATAACGCAGAGAGACAAGCTAGTGCACTTCTAAGAATGAAACAAGTTAAGAGAAATTAAAAGTTGCCTACAATTTAATGGGTAATTGACTCGGAGAATCATCTTTCCCTCGAAGAACATCGTTACACATATTAATCGTGCCAAATAAAGAGTAGCTATCACCAGTAGCATATACTCTAGCGATACATCTAAAAGGAGGTTCCCTATTCTATGGTAGAGTTGTATGCACCTGGCTAGGAGAAGTCTAGTAGGGGCACCATTGGCAGCAAGAACACGGCTTTCCAACTGCTTCAATAGCTGTTCTTGAACACTTTTCAAATCAACCTGTTTCATAATAGATCATATAGAACAAAGAAATAAACAAACTCTTTGAGTAACAGGCAAAATACTATCGAGATAACGTAGCCATTCGTATATAAAAATAGGTTTCTTGGGATCGGGGCAGACCTGAAACAAGAAAGTGTGATGATAGAGAATGAATTTGGGTAAAACCTTGAGGGCCTCTTCGTTTAACAATAAACTGTGTGTTTCGTCCATGTATGGCTTCTATTACATAATTATAACTAAAAGAAGAAAATAAAAAAAAATCGGACGGGAAAGATGAACGATAATCATGTCAAAGAAACATTTGAATTTGAAGGCAACCAGACAAACAATGTGAAAATTCAATAAAAACATGAAAAACAACGTGAAAAAAACTAAAAAAAACTCTGAAAACTTCTAAAAATATGGTACACCCGTAACGTATTAATAGTTCACAGTATAGTTAAAATACAGAATAGAAATTACCAAAGCTTATAGTGGAATAATCGGTTTTCAATAACCTGAAAGAGGTGATGATATCAGATTTCTATCAAGAGAAACCAACCTGGTTTTCAACTTCAGCAAACTCCTCCCACAGGGTTTCAACATCTTCACTCGCGTGGACCCCGTCGATAGGAGATGGCACAACATTCTGTAAAATCTTTCAAAAATGTTGGAAAGCATATGCTCACTTCGACTGTTGAATCTCCCTCGGAGGAAAGACGTGAACGCGGATTCAAATCTTTTTTCTCCGACCGCTTCCTGAAGGGAAGAATGAAAAACGAGAAGAATCAGATACAACCGCTCACACTCTTGGAGGCGCACTGAATGATCTTTGAGTTGATTTCATTCTGTGATCCATTTGCTGAAGCCAAGTTTTAGTTATTCTAAGTAATGGAACCCCTTTTGCTTTGCCTCGAATATCGCTACCCCATCCACCAGACTTTTCAACTTCTATTATACCTTGATCACTGAATGGAAACGCTATTACATTGAAATCGACTAACAGGACACTTTATGTTCTTCACCACCATTCTAGCATGGAAGCTGATAACATCGTACCATGATTGTTCTTCTTGAATAGAGGGCTTCTGTAAAGTACAAATGTTTTCATGAGATAATGTGTTGGAACCTGGAATCCTTCTAACCCAGAAGAGACCTCGGCGTCGAAACTAGGAAAGGCTGAGAACCTCATTAATTGAGTCTGGAATGAGACGGATTATAAAACTGTTATGCCCGCAACAATAAATAAAACACACATGAAAAATCCGAAATGAGATATTCGTGAGGATTACTTCGACACTTGGGGTTGATAATAATCTTGACAACTCAATCATTTATTATTTGGAAAGTTAATTACGACGTCTCAAAACAGTTTCTCAGTAGTGAAGATGATATGGCGAAAGAAACCAAAGTAATAAACAAATTGACCAGCAACCCAAGGAAAAAATAATGCAAGGCAAGACCAGACTAATTGAAAACACGACATACAGCACGGGCATTCAAAAGTGATATGGAACATGAATAGAATATATGACTGCTTAAAAAAGGATATATAGTATTTACAAATAAGAAGAGGAAGAGTAACGTTAGAGTCGGTTTCGCAGAGCAAACAAAACAGTCCGTAAGAGGGGTTACGTGTCCACCACTAGACGGAGAATAATCGATCTGTTATACTCATAGCTAAAGATAATCTTTAACTTACTTGAACAACAGGGACAATGAAGACCAACTTAAGATTTCAAAAAAAGACAAAACATTTTGAAATCCGCTTTGAACAAGCGAATGAATAAAGACAAAACGAGTGGAATGACCATTGAATTGATGAAATCAAACTTTACCTAACGTCTTTTCTTCAGCAGATCCCGCTCAAAATGTTCCGCAGTCATTTGGCCTAAAAGCCTTTCGCAATTCGGATTGAAAACGGAATAAGCAGAAATCTAAAACAACATTTGTGTGATCAATTTAACAGAGCCTTCAACCTCATTGTCATTTCTTTTCCCTAAAGAGAGACAAATGGCACATAACAAAGAAAAAACAAAAAACACTGCCCCAAACTCCATCCTTCAATGAATGTTACGCTTAGAGAACAAAATCCATTTTTATAACACTCACCAGAAAAAGTATAGCTGACCAAGCACATAAGCTATCAAAGTTGTAGCTAGAGTTTTTCTTGAATCATTCTCATAGCACCGACGCCACAATCGAAAAGGCGCGCTATCAAGCAAGTCGATATCTAAAAGCGACAAAATCCCAGTTGAATTCGCAGTCGGAGGATTTGGCTGAAAGAAGGAACTTAATGATCAATGCTGTCCAGACATACATGATGAAACAATATGGGAACAACCAACAAGTTAGATGACTAAAACAACTCACATCAGTTATGCTTTCCGCTTCTCCTTCATCCACTACCGATTCTCCTTCTGTGAGACTGGCAGTATTCTTTACTCTGAATTCTTTCAACCTCTCTTTAGTTTGTAACATTCCTGAAAATGAGAAAAAGTATACAAAAAAAGCTCTTCAAACGCTCAAGAAGCATGAACATATCTATATAAGAGGTATTAGCTTCTTATTTTAGTACGCAGTCTTATCGTAACAGGCTTAATATTTTCGATCAAACGCAGAAATTTACAATTTCTCCAAAAAATATATATATATTTGAATAGTTAAAGTCAATCTGTACAGTTATACATAAAATTCTAAATTATAAGACACGAGGCGTTTACCGCATTGTTGCCACGTGTGACATATAATCAAATATGCTAATTAGTTATTAGTGTATTGATTAGTTGCGCAAGTAGTAGGACAGGTAACGTAGTTTATCTCATTTACTAGATTTAAAAAACAAAAACAAACCAGTTCAGTACGTTATTTCAAACGGATCAGAGGCGACTTCACTGGCCGTAGGTTCGCAAACCCTAATTCATTTCAGTGGATTGTTTATGGGAGATGGGGCTCGGCATTCGCTCAGAACGGTTGCATTCGGCAAAATAACTATTCTCTATGATTTATTAATTTGAAAAATTATGCTTTCTCTACAAAAAAGAAGTACAAAACTGATCAATATGGTTCTGAAGAGCAAGATATGCCACAGAAATGGAAGTGAGCGATATAAAGAGTTGAAAAAACATCTAGCCGGTACTAATACTAAGCGAAGTGTTTATACTAACTGTTTTCTAAACATAGTTAACAAGCTCTACACAAGAATGTTGTGTCAAATAACCTAACATGAAAGTGACTAGGAAGGGATATAATTCAAAAATAATAATAACGTAACAATTAGATCAACAAAACGAATATACAACTAATTTGATTGAAGAACGGGATTGCTTCCATCTAGTGTCTCATTCTTGGCTGTGGAGCTATCAGTCCATCCTAATGTTTGTTTTTCTACTAATTTCCTGAAAACTCCGTTTTCTATGTCCATGAGCTCTTTGAATGTTCCATTCTCGGCTATGGTACCCTTGTCCAAAACAACTATTTGATCTGCGTGTTTGATAGTAGATAATCTGAAGTTGTGTCAATTATGAGAAAGCTGAAGCCATGGTAGCATACCTGTGGGCTATTATTAAAACTGTTTGTTGACTATTATCTAATAACTTATTAAGTGCCATCCTTACATAGTACTCTGAGCTAGCGTCCAATGCACTCGTAGCTTCATCAAGAATCAAAATGCGTGGTTTCTGAATGTAGTTCTTAGAAAGTTGAAAGTTTAAGGCTGACAAACATTAATCAAAGCCCGAGCTATGGCTATGCGTTGTTTTTGTCCTCCACTGAGAGTAGAACCATGTTCTCCAACCTTGACATCAGAAAATTGAATCAAAACAGAGATACAAGCATACCAGCATTTCAAATTTGTTTGGGAAAGTTCTTATGAATTCCATCGCGTTAGACTGTTCTGCTGCTTCGACCAACTTCAAATACATGTGTGAAAACAGAACAAAAAGTCATTTTCCCACCTGAGCTTCAGTGATTACCGCATTCTCATCAGAACCATAGGTTATGTTTTCCTTGAGAGAAGTCGAGAACAAAACGGGCTCCTTAATCGCTTTCATAATATATAGCACATCAATGTTTTTCCTACTTGTCCAACGGTTCCGATACTTCTCCTCCAGAAAGTGGGATCAATTTCTCTAAGGTTCACATCATCAATCATAATCTTTCCCTTATCGGGGTCATAAAGTCTAAAAAAAAGCGATGCGTGGGGTTTAGTAGATTGTGAACCTCAAAAGTAGATTGGCAATCGTGGATTTGCCACTCCCTGAAGTTCCAACGATTGCTGTAATCTTGCCAGCTGGAACTTCAAAAGAGATATCGTGGAATAACGAATCTCTTCCTGGGTAATTGAATCCCACTTGGTCGAACCTGAGACACTCGTGCTATCACAAACTTATTTTAGAACAAACCTAATGGCACTAATAACATCTTTCTTTTGTAATCCGCCGGTCAGTGGAATAAGTGGATACGCATTTTTCAGCTCAAACAATCGGTTGCTTGCTCCAAGACCCTGGAAATGGAAAGATAATACGGGATGACGCAAATACGTCAAACCTTCATTATCTCGATGAAAAATCCTGACATATTCGATAAACTGGCGGCACAAAGTACGGCATATAAGCAGAAAGAGGATAAGTCACCTAAATGGGAAAAATGTTTTTCTTCAAGGACAAGGAAAGTACCATAAGTCAAAAGCCCCTGACTAATCAAATTGCTTCCATAGAACAAGACAGTAGATAAAGCAACGTAACCAGTAAATTGGAACTGTAAATGTAGTAGTGAGACATGGTAGATGCTTCGAAACTTAACTGATCCGTACATCAAGCCTCTAGCAAAACCTTCTTTCTTGGAAATATTCCAAACTTCTTTGATTTTTTCACCGTAGGCTTGAATTTCTTTCTCTTCAGCAGCCAGCATTCGCACAGTTCGTACATTTGTGAGTCTTTCAGTTGCGACCTGAACGGATTCCATAACAATACATTTTTGAGATGACAATCACCTCATTCGCTCCTGCAACAGCTTCCTGCATTTTCAATGTATATCTTCTTTGAAGATTTCCAAACACGGCAAAGGTTCCTACCATAACGGGAATAACAACGAACATCACTTTGCATAAAGCCAGAGACGTATAAACCTAAACATTAAAAATATATGTGATAAGCATAGGAAAAAGCAAAAACCATTAATCCGCCTGATCCCATGCATGTTACCAGTGCTCGAGCACCATCACTCAAATTCATTGAGACGGAATAACCAACAATCAAAGCATCAGTAGAGAGACGAGAAACAATCTCTCCTACCTGAAAAGTAAAAGAACAGGGATTCTACTGTTCACAAGTAGAACTACCTTATTTTTATCAAAAAATGCGATATCTTGCTTGAGAACGGACGAGAACACTGACTTTCGTAAGTCATTGATGATCAATTGCCCTGTACATACGCTTTTACAATATTTCGAAAACAGTTTTGATTACCTGCGGTGTGCATACAATAGACTCTAGCAGCAATGGCTAAAGCTCCGACGAGAAGGGCTCCTCCAAGTGCTATAGGATTTTCTTTGAAAAACCTAAACTCAATTTTGAAAACCGAAATGCTTTTTAATCTTACTTAGCTATCTCTAATGTTTTATCCTCCTTCAGATTATCCTTCTTTGATTCATCGAATTCATCAATCAGCTTGCCAAGGATTCGTGGCGTTAATAGAAATATAGAACTACTTATCCCCAGGAACGATATGCCAACTGAATAGAACAGTGATTTCTCAAAAAATGAAAAGTGGAAAAAGTACGTATTATTCTCCATTTATAAGGTCCAGCTAGAGAGAGAATGGCTTTCAAATCTCTCCAAGAGGCATTCTTTAACTTGACGGATTCTCTTTTCGTTTCAACTATTGTAACCTTAAACGGATAGACATTCCATTTGTTGTTACGAATACAAAGAACGTACATTTCGCTTGCCACTCTGATTTAAAATATTTTTAATATTCCTAAGGATTGGAGTTTTATTAATTAGTAAAGTAGATCTTAGAGACGAGAACAATCTGAAAGAAGAAAATACTATGAGTAACAAACTTGATGCAAACCTTATTGAATTGGATGCTTTGGGAAAGCCTGTGCGGCATAGTGATTTAGTTACTAACAAGGTTCTTAACATCTCCTACCTATAGATTATAATATTACGTCAGTAAAGCTCAAAAACAAGAAAATTAAAAAGAATCAGAAGCATAACAGAGTAGTAATAACATATTTGTTAAAACTCACCGAACAACTACGTATGGCTGAAAGCTTGTTAAACTTGGGAAGCTTTCACTGTTTCGAGCGTCAAAGGTATCATAACAATTTTGATTGAGACAAAAGTTTTTTTTCGGATGATGAAATGATCCAATCGAAAGTTTAAAAATCTCCCGATCTTCAAAGTATGAGCGCTGCCACTCTCTGCTGATATCGAAGAACTGAATGTACTCCGATCAAGAAGAGTCCTTGCCTTAACTTCACGTGAACTTCACGTGAACATTTTCATTCATTGTTGTTTCATTCAGAAGAACGGTTGTATCCCAAGTTTGCTTCGAGTTCTATCAATATAAGCATATTTTCAGATCTCCTATTGAGGAATCTTATGTCATTTACTCATATTCATTCACTGTTCTAAGGGTTCATTGAGCTCAAAGTTCAAAGATGTCAATCAAAACGAACTACAGAATATCATAGGTTAATCACAAAGAAAGAAATGACTAAACTACTCTGAGTTTGTTGCTTTTCAAAAGTTTTTCATACTCGTGTCTTTCATATTTCGATTCCTCCAACTTAGCAAACAAAGACACAACTTTGCACTCTTCGAGTCGAATTTTCGAACTTCTGAATTGTCTGATAGCGTATCAAGTTGATGGTTTTCGAAAGGAAGATGATGTCATAACACAGAAAGCAACGTTTCATTTGAATTGAACACGATATTTGGATCGTGAGGGTTACGCATCGTTTCATAAGAACCAAATAATCGTACTGGCAGCGATTACGTAAGTGTCCATAAGGATTGCTTCATATGATAGGACACGTCATACTACAAACTTCTTTAATACCAATTAAATGATATAGCAGAAATAATTGGGAAAAGATTAACTATCAAAACACATTATCCCTTTGGCACAACTAACAAATTGGAATTGCGTTCTCTTCTGCTAATCTTCCGTTTCTCTTTTTCGACTTCACGTTGCTGTTGTGCGACTTTGAGTTTTTGGAATAAGATGTCGTTTTCCCCACGAACTTCTCGGTAGAATGAAACACTTCGTTCTCGTTCAGCTCTTGTTTCGTGATGCTCAAAGTCCAGCTGGAAATTGCTCATTTTAGGCTCAAGTCTCTAGAGCGCCTCTAACCTGTCCAATACAATATGTACCCGTTGACCATACTTCACTGGTGGATTCTTGCATTTTTTTTCCGGAAGCTGTAGCTTCGGCTATAAAAATCTATTAAAACTGATAGTTATGACTAGCAAACCTGAGATTTGGATGGTAGGAACATTCGCGTTCACCACGTACTTCTCCGTAAGATGCTTTAGGAAAGTAGGGAAGAACAGAACTAAACAAACGAGGGATAGCAAAGTTGATGACGACAAATAAAAAATTCTAGAAGATCATTAGATATTTAATCCGAAAAAACTGTTTTTACCGGCTCATTACTAAGCGTAGAGTGTAATCCTCCATGAGGAACTCTAACGATACAGCTTCAGAGGCAACAAAGAAGAAAGAACGACCCAGACATAAAAGAGAAAGCTGAATTTCTCGTAGATTAGTATTTGAGCCGAGATGAGCTACTTACAGATAGATGATTGTTTCCACTTCTCAGAACATTGTAAGACCAACTAGGTTTAGTCATTCTAATGAACAGAAGTACCCAGGTGAGACAAGATACAGTGAAAGCTGAAGAACATCTTACTTATCTTCATTAAATGACAATAACGAAACCTATGATGGCAGCGAAATATTTTGTTTTCACTATCCATATTTTGACCATTTTCTTGGTCTGAGACTCTTCGAAGTAGTAATCATGGATCATGAACAAAATCTGAAGGATAGGAAATCTCAATGTTGTTAGAGGAAAGAAGGAAGGAAACCTCGCTGAAGTAAGCCCTAACCAGAAATGTCAAGCATATGCATACGAAGAGAATAAAGGAAAAGATGGAGAGCTCACTGAACTTCTTAGGACCCTGAAGAGATAAACGGAGTTATAGGAAGAGTGACTGTGTTGCCATGCCTTTGTGTGGGAAGAAGGGAAAATCGCTAACCATAGTCTGCTAACAGCAAACGAAATTGTCATGAACACTTGTAAGTTATCAAGGAAATCATCACTGAAGTTGGTGGAACTTTCAAATGTGGATATCTTCAAGAGAAGGTATGATGACAGTAGAAGGATGACAATAGAAAACCTTAGAATCAGTGCTGCTCTCACTACCTTTCAGACCATAGAACGTTAGTACTAAACCAGTCAAGAAGTCTATGAAAAGATATTTTCGTTCATGCAAAAACAACAAATGGAACCTGCGTATGAAAATGCAATGAGGAAGAATGGAATATTGCAATGTTTGCGTACTGTAGAAAAAATAATAAAAGTAGAGAAACAAATAATGATTCCACCCAATGTCTCAACTCCTCTTACCGCAAGCACTTCCATGGCTGCGTTAGAGAACCAAAAAATGAATTTAGAAAGATATTCAAGTTGATTTTATAGATTCCGTTCCTTGAAGTTAAGAAGCTTCATCTCTTGAAAATGGATTAAATGTCGGCTGATCAGAAGATTAGGAGGGGGAGGTGACATTTCCTTTTAAGGAATATCCATTATTTAAATTGAAAACTGTTATTTCCTTATTCAGAAGCAAAAAAGTTGAGAAAAACTATCTCGCTTCATACAATTTCACACGGAGTTTTAAGCCCTGATTTAGATGTCTGCTCTCCTTCTCTCCACTTGTTTGTAAATATCATTTACAAATCGTTCCATATTGTATTGGAACTTGATCTAGTTATAGTTTCGTTATTGTTGAGAGCAGCTTATATGTAGCCCTGAATCGGAAACCATCAGCTCCCTGCAGATGTCGTCTTGTGACTCTTCATTTCGAAGCCGTTGTTTAGAATTTAATATTAAAGACTTGACGATATAGAGAACATTCTGTTGTCAGCACTTGATTATTCATTTATGAATTCTCCATTTCGATAATAGAATTGAAAACCATTATCGGGCATATCTTCACAGAGAAAAGAACCGAATTAACTGTAAAGAGTGAGAAGGGGGAGGAGAAAGAGGTGGAGTTGAGGGGTGAATGCAACCGCTCCTTGGCCATTTTCTTATATAAAGTGAAATGTACACGTCAACTTACACGTTGTATGCACCGCGGTTGACGTGACAATTCAAAACAACTTTCAGATCTTCTTAGCTCACAATAAGCATCTTCATACGTTTGAAATCATTTTTCAATGAATTTTCCATTATTTGAAAATTCCCTACTGAACATATACAAGAGTTGTAACGTAGTTATTCAGACTTTCACACAAGTTCATACGGTTCGATTATGGTTTTGATGGGGGACTGTGAGAACTACGTGTCAGCCAGCCGAATTTCTTCAATTCCATTTCTCTGCTCATGTTTTCCATTTCACTATATCTTTTAGCTCACAATCTGTCTGTTCTCACTCTTCTTCCATCTCCATACACACACTCATTCTTTCCTTCACTCTCTTTCACTCACTAACTCTCATTCTCTCCCTCTCCCTCTCTCTCTTAGTGGGCATGAGAGGAAGAACAACACGTGATTGTTGCATTAATTCGATTAGCATTATACAAGTTATATATGTAATAGTAAGTTTTTAACATTAAAAGAAATATTTTATCATTTTAAAAATGATAAGAATGATGTTGTGATCATATCAACACTCCAAAATACTTCTAATAAGTCACAAGTGATAAGAGATTTGCTGATAACGATATCGTCTTTTAACTCTTTTTTTCCTTTTTTTTTTGTTTTCCACACCATCATTGTCTTCTCCTCTGTTAACATGTCTCTTCTTATCATATTTTCGAAGAGAAAAAAACGATTTTTAGTTTTCCATGCCTTTTCACTTAAATTTTCTGCTGTCAAATCAAATATTCTTTTTTTTTTCTCGATTATCGATTGATTGTTCTTCCGACATTTCTCTCAAGGTTTTGGATTTTTCTTCAAATTTACTATTGTGCTTCAATTGAAGTTTGAACTAACTCTCTCTCATACGTTCACTCTCTTTTACCTTTTCTTCTTTCGTTTTTTATGTTTCATTCTCTCTTTCCCTCACTCCCTCACTCTTTCTATTCTCTTTCTCTTTTGTACGTACTGAGTTCATTCGATGAAACTTCATCCTTTTGTACTTCGTTAAAGTCTTTTCACATTTATTATTTTTTGTTTCAGAAATGGACTCTATGACTATATTTACGGCCTGGCTTGGCCTTTTTTCTGTAGCTTTCACCTTTATGCCTTTGTAAGCTATTCATGAATGACCTTTTATGTCTCATTATACATTCTACTTCAGAGGTTTAGTATTTGATTGGAAGCGTAGAGGAACTGCTGATGGATTTTCATCAATTAACCTCGTCTTGCCTGTTGTTGTGTAAGTTACTACGATTTGCCATTCTCGCAACATGGCCTTGTTTGTTCCAGAACTAGTTGTTGGTTGAAACATGGATTTTTGACAAATGATTTAACAAACATTCGAATTAATAGTGTGAACATTTGCTTTTTTGTTTTCTACGTCTTAGCTTTCGGGTATTATCAGCCAAAGAGGGTAAGAAGCTGGTGCCTACCTTTCCATCTCAACATGCTCACTTACAGAAGTATCTTCTCATTCAGCTATCGACTGCCCTCATTACACTTCTTTCTATACAACTCTATGTTGAAAGCCAAGGTATCATTCAATGATCACTTCGATAGCGTTAAGTCATTCATTTGAGATTCTGCTATCAAGGCTGATACTATGGGTTCCATTGCTGCTATGTCTCAAATCTTAAGTTTAGCTGGAGGTATTTATGAAATAGTGAGTATCATTGAGTCAGATAGACTTCTAGTTTTAAATTTAAGAAACGTGTGATAAGCATGGGACACACTGAGTACGTGCCAGCTACATTCCAATTCCTTCTGTTCTTCCTTATCGGCCAATGGTTACTATTCGGTATCTTAACGAACAACATCTATATTGCCGTAAGTCTTCTGTTCTGTAATTTCATGATTGAAGATTCTCTGTTCAGGCGGCTAATGCAGCTGGTTTAATCGTGAATATCATAACAATCGCTTTATATTTCGTATATCCACCACTAACCTGGCGTGTACCAATCATTGGCACTGGACCCCAACAGAAGAAAACGGATTAGGAACAGTTTACAAATACAAAATGCCATAGTACATCGAATGAAAAAGTAATGAGAAGAAGACGAAGATGAAAAGTTTTTTTTTTATATTCTAAATTGATTTGTATGACATTCCTTATTCTTGCCTGAAGCAAAGTTTGTAAGAATCAGCTTCTCGTTGTTGTTTTGTCGTTTATTTGCAAAATAACATTTGAGTCCTATTTTATGTTTTTTTATTTATTATACACATTTATTAGATGAAAAATTGTCTCATAAAAGAGATAGAGAGAGAGAGAGAATGGGGTGTGTAGAGAGAGAGAGATATGAAGAGAGAAATGAGTAACAGACGAGAGAGAGGGAGAGAGAGGGAGGGAAAAGCTTAAAAAGCTGACGGAAATTGTTTTATAAAGAGTTTTTATTTTATAACTTTTGTTTATTCGCTCTTCTACTTAATGTGATCATATACATATGACGTTGAATGAATAAAAAGCTTTTTCTTTTACCGCCTTCGGCTGTATTCGTCATGGAGCTTCACATCTACATTCACTTTCTGTTAGTACGCTTGTCTTAAGAAACTCTTATAAACATACATACACACACACACACACACACTCATACACACGGAAAGACATATCATCCTGTTCGCATCAATACACTGACCTCTCATCCGTTTTCAGTTCGTTTAGATGCTTCTTCATTCTCCATTCCTTCATGCTTCATAGGTTGAGATGAAAAAAAAAAGTTTTAATTAAAGTTTTAAAAAAGAATTTCATCAAAATAACAACAATCGCTTTCTTTACTTTCACTATGAACTTGTTCTTTTCAATTCAGCTTTGATGCTCTGATGATCAGCGAACTGTTTTTTGAATCTCATGTTTATCCTCAAATATTATTCTCTTCGTTTCTCTGCGAAGTTCAAAGACACCGTTCCATTACATTCCCATTTGGAGTTCATTGAGGTATGATCAACCGGTCTGTACGCTTGTAGATTCAGAATGAACGGAACGATACACGTTTTACGTGTATTGACGGATGTTGCCACGTGGACGCATATCCCTCATTCAAATGAAATCAACGTGAGAACATTGAAATTAGCAAAAATCACAAAACTTCAAAACATAAGGTTACGTGAAAAGATTTACGTGAAATTTGCATAAAAGCTCACGTAAAGTGAAAAAATGACGTCAACGTAAGCACAAAATTAAGCAGAAAAGCTGTTGAGGCCTCATAACGAGATTGAATGATGTGAAAAACATTTTTTCACTTAAAAACCCATCCATCTATCTATCCCAATGAACACACATAGACACACCATACTCATACACAGACGCATTCACGTATACACGGGTATAGTTATGAGGTTGATTAACAAAAAAAGTTTTCATTCTCTCCAATCAGTTCATTTTCAGAATAACCTCACTTAATGAAGGTAATTAAGAAAATGTCAACTTGTGAATTTGCATAAAATGGAAAAAAATTAATTCTGAATGAGTTGCCTGAGGGCCGGGCTGATCACTACTACTGCTCCTCCCATCGTTTCTCTCTGTCTCTCTGTCTGCTAAGACTTGGTTGTGAAAGCAAAAAAAAAACTTTTTTTAATGAAAATGAAAAAAATTATTTTGTTTCTTATATCCAGATGATAATGATCTCTTCGAAAGTAATAATAACGTTTCTCAAGGATTATGATCGTTTATCGAGAGCGAGATAGAAGGAGAGGACGGAGCAACAGCACATCCATCTGCTTTTAATCATTTTCTTCTTCGTCTTCTATACAAACGAGTTTTGTAAGTTGCAACAATCAACTGAGCCACTTTTTATGTTCCCAAAACGATTCTTTATTTGGGCATATTTGTAGTTTCATAAACTATGATGAACGATTGAGAGAAGGTGCTCGCGAAGACTTCCCGCATAGTTAAATCTCCATATAATATAGACGAGTGGATAATCTGCTTTTGTTGGCTGACGGCCAATCATATACAACTCTCACACATAATAATATATAAATTAAATAAATATAATTAAAAAAAAGAATTCTTTCAACTTCAACTGGTGGTATGATGTGTTTGGGCGGCGCCAAGAAGAAGCTTTTAAACCTCTACATACAACTTCCATTCGTGATGTAAGCAAGTCATCACATTCTCTCCTCTCCTCTCCCTCCCTCCCACCCTCTTTCTTTCCATTCTCCTCCCTGATTTCTTTTTATTTTTTTATTTTCACTGAAATGACTAACATTGATAAGTTTATTTCACGTTTTATTAATTTTTTTGTTTTTCAGCGAAATTAATCTTTCCATTACATTTTCTCATTCTTGCAGCTTTTCTCCGCACCTCCCTACCTCCTTTCTCCACCTCCTTTTCCAGCTTTTCCTTCCATTCTTCCATCGTGTATGCTAACTCTCACTCGCATCTCTCTTCCTCTCTCTCTTATTACTTTCTCTCTCTTAAGCCTTATTTTTATTTTCTTTAGAGTTCCCTTTTTATCTGAAACTTTCCATAATTGCCTTCTCAAGCTTCATCTTCACTTCTCTGTATTTCGACGACATTCATAGTATGTTCGTATTCATAAAACGCTTGGATTGCGTTTGTCTCCTTCTAAGGAAGGGAATTAGCAGAACTGCCTCAGGCTATACTCCCACTTATCTATGAAGCTTGTACAAATTTTGACAACGAACACGATGATGTCCATGACGTCAACACAGCAGCAGAACATATCCTTTCGTCTTCTTCTTCTTATTCTTCTTTTTTCTCCTCTAAATATTTATGAAAATAAAAATTTGTATTTGCTTTACATTAACACGTTGTTTGGAGAACTTGATATGAACTCGAATAAGCATTCATGAAGCTTCAGCCTTCTTCTCTCCCTTTTTGATCCCAAAAAAAATAGTTTAGATCCTCTCTACTCTCTTACTCTCCTTCTCTCTCTCTCTGTCTACCTCTCTCTCTGTGTCTTCTTATACTTTCTTCTCTTTTAGTTTTCATTGATAATCTTCTATGAGATGCTCCGCCCATTCTTCATCATCTGAATTCTACTCTCATTCCATCTGATAGACCGACGTCAACGTCCTGCTTTCACACCACATCATCCTTCTCTTCTAAGCTCATCTATTCATCATTTAAGAGTTTCTGTGAACTTTCTATTCTTCAACGACCAATTGTCTAGTGTGGCCCTATATGGAGAAAGCTCCAATCATATGACTTCAAATAATTCAACTCTTACCTATTAGAGTCATAAATCAATGAGTTCATCGTAAAACGAGGGAATTATTTTTCTTTTTTATTTTTTTTTGTTTTGCTTTTCTTTCAGCTTAATCAACTCCCCCTCCTCCTACTCTCCGTCTTTCTTCAACACTCTTTCTCATTTCATTATGTTTCAAACGTATTTTACTTTATTTGACATTTGATCTCAGGATATACTTAAAAGCGTTAAGCTGGAAAAACCATTCAAGCTTATCAGCCCTGAAGAACACTCTTCGAGCAAAAAATTGTTTTCAATCTACTTCCTTCTTCATTTTCATGTTCTTCTAACCTTTTAAGGCTATAAAACACAGTTTCGTATTTGAAATGTCTCTTAAATTTTCCTCCAATTTCTTCTAAAGTACAACAAACATCCATTCGAAGAGAGGGAGGGAGAGAGATAGAGAGAGAGGGAATGAGTTGAGTTGAGTACGGCCGGTTTTCATTCAATTCACTACTTCTACTACTACACTATTATACAGGTCTATTTTTGTGAAAAAAAATTATTAAGAAATGATTGAAACCAGCAGTTTGTCATTTGCTCTTGACATTGGTTGAACAAGTTGTGTTCTTCTGTAATTTGAGTCGTTCGCTATCACTTGGTCCAACAAGCTATTCTTCAAAACTTACGCTCATCTTTCTCTTCTTCTTTCATTCAATCCTCATCTCTTCCAGTGACATCTCAAAGAGAGATGAACATACGAATACTTCGTTCCACCCCAGTAACTCTATCGCTTCTCAACTCACAAGCAACCATCAGTCATCACATACAAGCAGCGTCAAGCTATCATAGTTGTACGATATCAATTACATACAACTTTCTTGAAACTTTGTTAAGCAACCTTGTTTTCAAACCGATACCCTTTTCTCTTACCAATGTGGCTGTTTTTCCATAATTTTTCAAGCCAGCTCATCACCTCTCTGCCCGAATGAAGCTTTTCAGCAAAAAATGGAAAAAGCTGTTTTGATCATGTGAATCAGCTGAATGATGTGAGCTAGTTGATCGCAAACTATCATAGCGTTTCGTTAAAGTTCTTATAAACTCCAATTCTATCTTTCTCTTCTTCTCTCTTCTCTCTCTCTTATTACCTCTCTCTTTCCTTCTCTCTCTCTCTTTATTTCCATTTCCCTCTGTGCCTCTTTACGATGATATCCTATTTGACGTCATGTGTTTTGAGAATATCTGAAGAAGTAAGTCAATGAGTTTCTGAACTCATACGAAATTCTCGCCGCAGAGCCGTAAGATCTCTTATTGGAAGAGCTTGGCTTCTCCTTTTCACAATCATCCTCTGATTTTGTGTTTTTTCTTCAGCTTATAAGAATCTTGAAGTTCGAGACAACTCAAATTACGTTTTATCCTTTTGATCGCATGTCTCCTAAATTATTTCCATGAAATTTCATATGCATTGGCACGTTCCTCTTAATTAGGAATCAAAAGTGATCTCAAATTCGATCTCATTCTCAAAATAATTTTCAAGTTTTGCATAAATTCCAACTCATTCATATAGATTGCTTCCCAGATGGTTTGGTGAGTGAGAAAAATAAAGAAGTTTTTCTTTTCTTCTGAAACAAAATGATTTGATTGTTGACAGAAGTAAGAATGTTTCGGCTGTGTCTTTCACTTAGCTAGCTTTTCCCTTTTTTCATCCAATTTTCAGGCTTTCTCTCAAACTTACATATGTTTCTTCTCAAAATAACAGAGATATTTGAGGGTTTTTTGTGTCCTCATCTTCTGTTATGTGTAAACGTTGACGGTCATCACCATTGCGACGGCAGTGAATCTTCAGCTATTGGAAGTTCTAATCAATCTCAAAACAATTCGTCGTCTTCTTCTGTTTCGTTACGTTCAAGACGTTCTATCCGATTTTCACTCGTCATTTTTCGCTTATTCTGATTTCCTCAAATTGATTGTGATGAATTCAATCATTCGGTTGCACGATGTCTTTCCTTCATCCGTCGATTTGTTCAGTCATGGCAGGAAATGAAAATGAACAAAATATACGAAAAGAACATGGATAGTCTGAGAGAAAAATTATTCCAACTCAATAGATAGATGATGAAGAGGAAAAATAAAAAAGACTGGGACGAACAGAGATTGCTAATCATGAACGCGGCTCATTCAGTTAGTGATGAGATAGCTATGAGATCTATTCTGATGATGTTATTAACTATGCATCTCTTTTTTTTCTCCAATAAACTCTTCAAAGGTTTCAATCATTCAAATAATCTTTGACTGTTCTCCGTCTCGCTTACGAGTATTCTAATTGTTACGTGAAATGTCACGTACGTCAGTGTTCACGTGAGCCTCTCCTTCACCAGTTCTCAGTTTTCATTTAATTTACTTGCAGAACGGTTGTTCCTTTCTCTCTCTCTCTTTTATTTTTTCTCCCATCTAATCCCTCCCTCCCTCGCTTCCCCCCCCCCCCCCTCCCTCTATTCCTCTCTCTCTTCGTTACAAGCTGTATCACTTCCTGATAGAACGAAAAAAATGAGGTGTTGTGTGCTTAGAGGAAGCCTCAAAGTACTAGCGCCTGATATTGTCTTTGTTTTTCTTTAATTGAGCACTTTGTGTTCAAAAAATTCTCTTTGAAAATTTGATTTCGTCGTCATGTTTTCATCCACATTCTCTCTCTTTAACCATTTTTAGTCTTTTTTACCAATCACCCTGAAACGATTGATCTTTTTCAGTCTTTTTTGTGTGTGTATCAACCTCTCTCTCTCTCTTCTATATATAGCCTAAGGGCAGCTAATGATTCCACGAACATTTCTTTCCTTTACAACTTTGCATTTTGCAGAACCTTTTACTCTCTTTAAACTATTTCTTAGATAAACTTTCTATTCTATCGCTGACTATGCAAATTTTCCTCTGAACAAATGAAACGGGTGCTAACCATGCCACGCTTGATAGTTGAAGCTTGGAAAACAGCTCCCTCTGGATTTATGAGAAGTCAACTAAGAGCCGTTACCATCCCCATTTTGAATATCTTTTGTGCGAAAAAAAAATCGTTTGAAGCTTCCGTCAGATCCTTAAATTTCAAAATTGCTCGTATTTTGCTTCTTCAGCTCAGGCCCATCATTTGACTACAAAATGGTTTATTTATTTTCTTATTTTCTTTTTATTTTTGTTTGGCTTGTTGTTCCTGTGAGCTTTAATGGATTGTAGAGTCAAATATTTTGTTTCTGAATTCAATCCATTCCCCCATCTCACTACTACACTGCATACACGCCTTACAACTCTTCGCCATCACTATCATCCAGGTGGTTTAGAACAAACGATTTGTATTATTCATTTCAACTCTCATGCTTACGACATCTCAATTTTCTTATTAAATTCGTACTAACTTCTGAATGAAAGCAAATGCTATCCGATTGCTCTTATTGCCTTCAATGTATATCGCTTCATTCAATTGTTGGAACTTTTCAAGAACATTAGATGACTATGAAGAGCCGAAAAGACTTGTAATAGACTCATCACAAAACAAAGAGACAAAGAGAGACTAAGAGATTACGAGAGATATTGTCAGAGAGATGCAAATCATCTGTAAAAATTAGAAGCATTGCCACAGAAATGGCCTTAAAGAGAGTTTGAAATGGCAAGAGATATAGAGAGAGAGATAGATAGAGATGAAATGAATAGAGTGCATACGAGAATGAGAGAGACAAAAGAGAGATAGAGAGAGAGAATAGAAGAAGAAGGGACAAGTGTGAGGGAATTGCCCGAGGGGAAGGAAGAGATATAAGTAAGGAGTGTTGAGCCAAATTATTCAACGCCCTAAATAGCCGATTCAGCTTAATCGTTTCCAAATCTGGAAATTTTTAAATTCAGTTCCAAAATGTTCCTAGGCCCTCTTAAAGAGAAAATTGTTTTGGACAAGTTATTTATTTTGAAAATGTCCACCCTACCCTCTTTGATCTTATTGTTTTCGACTAAACATCATCATTCGGAGAGGCAGGAAGACGATTCTTTGATTTCTCTACTCTCGCCTCAAGCAGTTTTTCATTCTTCTCATCTTATTTTTTTTAATATTTAATGAGGAAGTGAGAATGATGAAAAGATCATAGAGTTTACTTTGGGTTGTCTCATATCCATCTCCCACTCCTTCAACACTTATCCAAAAAGCACGTCCGCTTCAGACGTAAATCACGTGAGAGCACGTAAAGCGTGATCATTGAGAACTCACAAACATTTCATTTTTCATGTTTTTGAAGTAGAGATCGGTCGCATTCCATAATCTTCATGCTATCATTGAACATCTTTATTTATTTCGTTTTTTGATGTTCATCTCCTCTCCCTCCCTTTATCTCTCTCTTTCTCTCTCATTCCTTCTCCTTACCCTATTTCCCTGCTTAGCTTTTCGCTTTAAATTTCGTAAAAGAAGGCGAAGAAAAAAAAACGGAATTGTTTGTATGCAGATGATTTCTGGTTACTTTAATTTGCTCTTATTATTCATTTTTTTCGCCAATTTCGACGTTAGAGGCAAATGAAAAAACGAGTCTCATGCCTCTCTCATCATTATCCTTCCATTTCTAACGAAAGTGCGAATGAGAATACTACAAAGACTTTGTGTCATCTCTTGCTGCTTCTCAAATAGAAGTAAAGAGCATAGAAACAGATTTTTTGATATTTCGTGTCACTTAATGAATATTCAAATCTTCGTTCTCCCTTGATTACTATTCTCTTTCTGTCGTCTGTTCCTTACTTCCACCCTCATTCTATTATCTCTCTCTCTCTGTCTCTCACTCTTACATGTTCGAACACTCAGTCAAAGCTTAGCGACTTTAAGCTTTGAACTGACATCGTAAAGATGAAATTCCTTAATTCATCATAACATTCAATATAGGAACGTATTTCGTTCGAGATTACTTTTTGCTTTTGAACTTGAACACACATCCTCATCTGAATTTTCATGTCAATTCATCTCGTTCCGTCTCTCTCTCACACTTCTTCTTCCTCTTTTCCCATTTTTTTACTTCAAATGAACTTTTGAAATCGTCTTTCATCTTTTATGCTTAAGTTAAGCCTTTCGAAGGCATATTTAAGGCTGTTTTATTAAAATATTTCCAAAAGACATCTTGTCTCGCAAGACATTTCAGATTATTGAAGCTCTTCTGATGACAATGAACTGACAACCAAATGTTTCCATGAGCTATTCTCTTTTCATTTCAATTTTTTTCTTTCTCCTCTTCCTGAATGAAAACTTTGTCGAGGAGAAGAAGTAGTGTGTATGAGAATGAAGATAGGCATAAGGAGCATGACCACCAAATCATCAGAGCAATTGTTAGATCAAATCGACCATCTCAACCCTTGTCAACCACCCCCTCTTTCGTATACACACATGTCATCCAATTGTTTTTCTCTCCTTCAAAATCAATTTCATTACTTTTCATATTTTGCCATCTAACCGATTACTTCTCCAATTGATAGATGAATCTGTTCAATTTGAGGACAAATTAACAGCTTTTAGTAGCAAAGGTCAATCATCAATTGGAATTTTTATGAAAAACATTCACATATTTCAGTCAAAATACGTTAAATCGCTTCAACTAACCAAATATTTCATTTTTCATTCAACCGCCCTTCACCTCACCTCTTCCCATCATCTCACTAGCCCTCTTCCCCCCCTCCCCGCTTTCATACCTTTTCAATGTTAATTCGCATGCTCATACACTACAACCTACCTATCGGCTGCCTTGTTCCTACAACTGAATGAGAAATAGCTTTTTTGTAAAAAAAAAAGATAGAAAGAGAGAGAGAGAGAGAGTGAGAGTGAAAGGTCATTCTTATAACTTCTCTCTCTCTCTCTTACTTTACTCTGATTGTGAGTACGTCAGTCTCTTGCTCTTCCCATCTATCTAACTGCCTTCTTTCACTAGTACACTCTCTGATACACTTTCTATCACTCCCACATTGGCTAGTTTGACTTGAACACAGAAAGTTGTTTGGACTAACTAACTGTTGAGCTTAAAACATTTTTAAAACATAGCTTTAATCAATTCATTAGCATATTTGTGTAAATCCACGTAAGTTTTCATTTTGTGTTCTTTCATTCTCGCCTCCTCAATCTCATTTTTGATTGTTTGCCAGCAGCAGCAGACACATGAAGCGATTGTGCATTCTCATAATGAGTATTTGAATTTAAATATTATTTGTTTCTTAACTATGTAAACTATGATATAATCTCATATAGTTAGTAATTGAATGATATTATAGAAAAAGAAAGAAGCAGAGGAGACAGAAGACGAATTAAAATAAATTTCGAATGGGATGTCTGCCTGTGAAATGGGAACATTCAATCTTACGGGAGCTATATGGCTTGCCCAAACCGTATCATCACTTAATGAATTATATTCTAATATACAGCCATATGTAGTTGTAGCTTTATGTATAGCAGGTATACATATCTAATTCCTATCTATACTATATCATATAATTAAGGAACATTAATGAATTTAGTGACAGTCATTGTATTAACACGTCCAACAATGCAATCACCTATCAATTGCCTCTTATGTGCAGTAGCTCTCTGTGATATTCTTGTTATGTCTTCTGTCTTAATCTTTGTTTATCATTTCATGATTGCGGCAACACAACGGTTCCTTCACTTACATCTCATTCAGCATCATTCCATTCTAATCTTGCAGATGTGATTTTACTGATTTTAGTAAAAGTTGGGCATATTTCCTATTTTTACATTCCCAGACAACTGTCATCTTCCATGCTACGAGCATTTGGCTTACAGTAAGCTTCCTCATTCGGTTTTCATTTTAATTTCTTGTATTTAAATAGGTTCTATTAGCTCAAATACGTGTTTATACAATTAAGAGAGCAACTACTGGTCCGACTGATATGATAACTATCAAATCAACGTTCGTCGTTGCTCTCATCACACTTCTCATTGTAATGCTCGCAAATATTCCAAACTTCTTGACTTTTGAGGTTTTACTAGCGAATAGCAAACTCATATTTCTTACTTAATGTCTCTTGTTATAGATAGTCGAACATTCAGCTGAAGGCTATTGTGATGAAGAGGATGAAGGACTAACTAAGTATTCTGCTAACGCCACACCAGCTGACTTCATGTACCAAGTGAAAGCATCCGATCAGGACTGTGGCTTACTGAAGGTATTTCACTCATCTTACGCAAGATGGATTGTAATTCTCTGTCTTGCAGGCAGCTTTCTGGACAAATGGGATAGTGTTCAAAGTTGTTCCATGTCTGTTACTAACATTTTCTATTATTGCGTTACTGAAAATTATCAGAGACGTTTCCACCCGGAGGAAAAGCCTTGCTCAAGTAAGATCTCATTCTCCCTCTTCTTCCCGGTTATCTATCATTTACTAATCTTGCAGGTTATGAATAAGAAACGTTTACCGAGTGATCATACAACTCCTATGCTAGTTGCTGTTTTATCAATTTTTCTTTTGACGGAGTTGCCGCAGGGCATCTTGCATGTGGGTAATGCCATCTTCTCGAAAGCAACGTTCTATAATCGAGTTCGTCTGAGTTATTTGTTTTCTTTTCCTAAAATATGTTCTTCTGAAGATTTATCAGCCTTTGGGTGATATCATGGATTTGCTTTCCTTACTCAATTCAGCAGTTAACTTCATCATTTATTGCGCTATGAGTCGGAAGTTCCGTTGTGTTTTCCTACAGCTGTTTGCCAACCTGTTGCCTGAACGAATCTACAGGTAACTCATTTTTCTATCATTCTTATTGTATCATGTTATCTAACCAGACGATATGTTCATCAATTCCCTGGAGTATTTGATCTGGAGATATCTCGTCAAAAACCATCGGGATATACAGATGTCACCCGAACGGAACAGGTAGAGACATCTTACATACACACACAACATCTCTATCTTGTTCATCATAGATGGCTCTGACATCTAGTTCCCATCGGGTATCAGCTACATCTATGCTTATACGTACTTCATCACGTGAAAAAATGTACTCAGGAAATTTATTGTCAGTCGGTAAGAAGGGCTGTTGTTCTTTCATTTTCCAACATTTTTTTTATGCTTCAGAAGGCCCCGGAGGCCGTTCAATGTCTCACTCGAGTGTTCATTACAAAGAGCAGTTTGATGGACGCAGTAGCTTAGAAATTCATGAAATCAAATTGCCTATTCCATCGTCAAAAGTAAATTCCAATCATCATCTTTCATCCGACTTTCATCTCTATGTTGCTATTCTTTTTTTATTTTTTTGATTATTCATTCACAAGCAGCAACTATTCTAAGAAATATATATATGTTATATTTATAATTAGCTGTTTTAGGGTAATGAGAGGCCGGCTGGAAATGTGTTTGTCACATTCCGGCAATACGTTAGTCGAGTTATCCAACGAATGGAAGCCAATCACATACAGGATAGCCCACAACGTCGAATGAATATCATTCAATTCGAAACAAGTACAATATACTGAATGTTAATTGATTATTTCCATCGATCTCATCATTTGAATCTCATTCTAACAAACAAAATCTTTTTATTTCATCTCCATCTCTCATGACCTTACACACACTCTCTCTCTCTCATAAGATTCTTAACTATATATATATATATACATACATATCATTCTATTATATTATTCTGTGATCATATACTTCTTGTTTTACATAACGTGTAGATATGTAATGTCCCATTCACGGGTTGTCAATAAATTCTATTATTTTCATAAATATTTTAATTTTTCACGTGAAAACTTTTCACGTGCACGTCATCATAACAGCATTTCAATTTTCATTCAATTTACGTGCGGAACGGTTGCTCTCCTCTCTCCTCTATCTCTCTCTTTCTTCACTCATCTCTATTCACCTATTCATTGCCAAAAACTCAGAATGATTGCTATTTTCCAGGTTCCCAGTCAGGTCATGCCTTTAGTATGTGGCTTCAGTCCAAACACACTCTAATGGAAAACTTCATTTTGTGATTTCATATTTGAACCATTCTGTTTAGCTTCTAATTGTTTCTAGCAAATACTGCTTTACATAGTTGATGAACTATAAGAGTACAATCCATCTCTTCAACGAAGTCAATAAACAACTGAAGAAAGAGAAATGAGAGAGAGAGAGAGAGAGAGAGACAGAGAGAGAGAGAGATTGTGACGTTGTGAAGGAAATTCAATTGTAACAAGAAAGAGTTGTGAATAGATTCAATAGTTTATTATTATTAATAAAAAATAAATAAATAAAACAACAAAAACAACAACATGAGAATGTAAACAACTCCAAACTGTCATTGAAAGCGATAACTATGCCATGGTGAAGGTATACAAGAGCTGAGTGTCTGACTATGATGATGTGGGAATGCTGCATGAACGATATAAGGTCAGCAAGTAAGTTATTCAGGAATGTGAACTGTTGGGATCGCACTCTTTCATTAAACGTATTTGTTGTTACTTCATGCCTGCTCTGATCGTCTTCGACGGCTTAAATGACAATCAGACATATCAAACGCCAAAATATCTTTTGCAAACCTCAAAATATTGTTTTTATTAACAGAGCATTGTTGTTCGCTTGGATGACTTTTCCACTTTTGCAAATTCAAATCTGATAAAGTGCTACACAGCTGATAATCTGATTCACTCGGTCCTGGATAAACAAACGAGTTGATCTGAAAGAAAACATCGGTTACTTTTTGTTAAAACGATTCATCATACGTGAACTCGTTCAATCTCATCACCATTATTGCACAGAATCCGCGATAAAGTTATCTTTTTGATTTCGGCGACCTGTTCACTTGTGAAAACACCTTCGTTTTCAAACCTGAACAAGAAACAGTAACGGTTATGAACATATCTGCCCAATTCCAAACCAGAAACGGTCAGCTGAACGTAATCGCTGGAACTGTTCAGTGATGATACAATGAAACGTTGGTCCCATCAAAGCGTCCTTTTCTAATAGTTCTGACACTCCCCCCACAAACAAGTCAATATTACCTATAATGATCAAATTGAGTGAAAATCACCTTCGAACCGCTTTTAGTAGACGTATATAAAAAAAAAATTTAACGCTCTCGAAACTGAAACTGTAAATGAGAACACCCCCATGAGATACGCTGCAAATGAAATGCGCTGTTCTTAGGGCGAGCGAATGACCTCTTCAATGTGGCGCGATGAATGTGTATAACCATCTTTCGACTGCAAACATGATGCTGAGAACCTCCATACGTGATGAGCGAAAACTCTTTTGATCAGAAAAGTAGATAGAATCACAACTCGGACAACTGAACCAGCAGAAAAGTGGACTGTCCATTGCACCGACCAAGTATTATCTTTTGCCTTTTTCACAAATCAAGTTGGTTGCTCGTTTTTGGTACGGCGCAGGTAGAGTGAGTCCTTCATAGCTGATAGAGTTGAAAGGAGAACTGTAATACAATGAGGAAAGCCCGGACAACCGAACCAGCATAAGTGGACCGTCCAAACTGCCTACCAAGTATTATCTTTTGCTTTGTTCTCACAAATCAAGTTGGTTGCTCGTTTTTGGTACGGCGCAGGTAGAGTGAGTCCTTCATAGCTGATAGAGTTGAAAGGAGAACTGTAATACAATGAGGAAAGCCCGGACAACCGAACCAGCATAAGTGGACCGTCCAAACTGCCTACCAAGTATTATCTTTTGCTTTGTTCTCACAAATCAAGTTGGTTGCTCGTTTTTGGTACGGCGCAGGTAGAGTGAGTCCTTCATAGCTGATAGAGTTGAAAGGAGAACTGTAATACAATGAGGAAAGCCCGGACAACCGAACCAGCATAAGTGGACCGTCCAAACTGCCTACCAAGTATTATCTTTTGCTTTGTTCTCACAAATCAAGTTGGTTGCTCGTTTTTGGTACGGCGCAGGTAGAGTGAGTCCTTCATAGCTGATAGAGTTGAAAGGAGAACTGTAATACAATGAGGAAAGCCCGGACAACCGAACCAGCATAAGTGGACCGTCCAAACTGCCTACCAAGTATTATCTTTTGCTTTGTTCTCACAAATCAAGTTGGTTGCTCGTTTTTGGTACGGCGCAGGTAGAGTGAGTCCTTCATAGCTGATAGAGTTGAAAGGAGAACTGTAATACAATGAGGAAAGCCCGGACAACCGAACCAGCATAAGTGGACCGTCCAAACTGCCTACCAAGTATTATCTTTTGCTTTGTTCTCACAAATCAAGTTGGTTGCTCGTTTTTGGTACGGCGCAGGTAGAGTGAGTCCTTCATAGCTGATAGAGTTGAAAGGAGAACTGTAATACAATGAGGAAAGCCCGGACAACCGAACCAGCATAAGTGGACCGTCCAAACTGCCTACCAAGTATTATCTTTTGCTTTGTTCTCACAAATCAAGTTGGTTGCTCGTTTTTGGTACGGCGCAGGTAGAGTGAGTCCTTCATAGCTGATAGAGTTGAAAGGAGAACTGTAATACAATGAGGAAAGCCCGGACAACCGAACCAGCATAAGTGGACCGTCCAAACTGCCTACCAAGTATTATCTTTTGCTTTGTTCTCACAAATCAAGTTGGTTGCTCGTTTTTGGTACGGCGCAGGTAGAGTGAGTCCTTCATAGCTGATAGAGTTGAAAGGAGAACTGTAATACAATGAGGAAAGCCCGGACAACCGAACCAGCATAAGTGGACCGTCCAAACTGCCTACCAAGTATTATCTTTTGCTTTGTTCTCACAAATCAAGTTGGTTGCTCGTTTTTGGTACGGCGCAGGTAGAGTGAGTCCTTCATAGCTGATAGAGTTGAAAGGAGAACTGTAATACAATGAGGAAAGCCCGGACAACCGAACCAGCATAAGTGGACCGTCCAAACTGCCTACCAAGTATTATCTTTTGCTTTGTTCTCACAAATCAAGTTGGTTGCTCGTTTTTGGTACGGCGCAGGTAGAGTGAGTCCTTCATAGCTGATAGAGTTGAAAGGAGAACTGTAATACAATGAGGAAAGCCCGGACAACCGAACCAGCATAAGTGGACCGTCCAAACTGCCTACCAAGTATTATCTTTTGCTTTGTTCTCACAAATCAAGTTGGTTGCTCGTTTTTGGTACGGCGCAGGTAGAGTGAGTCCTTCATAGCTGACAGAGTTGAAAGTAGAAATGTGATACAATGAGGAAAGCTTGGACAACCGAACCAGCATAAGTGGACCGTCCAAACTGCAGACCAAGTATTACATTTTGCCTTTTTCTCAAAAATCAAGTTGGTTGCTCGTTTTTGGTACGGCGCAGGTAGA